GTGGAGAGGAATGTAGAGCCTCGGAGTTCTAAACTTTTACCTTCCTGTAGCAACATTCCAAGAGCAATATGAGGACCTAAGCCTGGCTCAGAACTCTGGTGATGGAGGTGGATGATTTAACAGAATTGTGCTAATTGTTCTGCCTCTGCCTTAGGGTTTACTGAGACCATCATGCACTCCTAAGCACGATGGAGCTGCTTCCCAACCTCTGTAACTGGGAAACTCGGCAGGTGCTGGGGAACCACTATTGGCTGTCTCTGCTGATCCCACAGCAATTGGGTGAGCTGATTCAAGGATGTCTGAATCAAGCATATAGGTTCGTTCTGTTGCTTTAGCTGGCAGATCATCAGCCTCTAGCAGAAGACAGAGGCAGTAGTCTTGTGAACTAAAGTGTAGCAAGTCATAGAATGGTATCTGAAGACTTTTCCTCCTCACGAGAAATGGACTTCAGAGATTGACTGTGGACATGTGCTAATGAATTTTTCCCTCTCAGTAATCTGACTGGGAGACAAAGTTCATGTTCAGGAGTGGACTTTTGGAAATGCTGTCTGGTTCTATATAAGTTTCTAATTAATGAAATAAGTTTCTTATTAATCTCTTGATGGTGCAAGGGCTGGAGCACCTCTCCTATGCAGACAGACTGGGTTGTTCAGCATGGGGAAGGCTCTAGGGAGACTTTTGTCAGCCTTCTGTTACCTAAAGGGGGGCTTACAAGTCAGTATTGTTGATAAAGGTGTATTTTGGCTAGTCTCACCAACAATGTCATTTCTTGTTGCTCTTGGCTCAAACTGCATTGCATATAAATCCGACACCGTGACACTGCAGCCCTGCTTGGTCAATTCTTCCACAGCAATCTTCAACAAAGATCCGTTGAAGGACTTGGGCTCTTGATGTGCATAGACTATCAGGACCTTTTTCCCTGGAGGCAGAAAGAAAACCAGAAGACAACTTGGAATACAGGAGGCAGATGCAGAACAATTTGTGGAGCTGGAGCTTGGTCCTTTCTTTTTCTCTAGTGTGTTTTCCAAGTGGCACAAAACTAGTGGAAACAGAGTGACAGTGGCAGGATTTGACTCCTGCTCAGCAGCAGTGAGTGACTCCTGAGGCATTAATCGCTGAATGCCCCCAGCCCAGCAATTCTTTGCAACACTGGGCTTTCCTAGGTGGAAGTCAGTGAACAGTGGATGTGTTCCACGGCAGGTCACACTGCCCTACATAAGCACTACTCAGTCCCTCCTTGAGTCGATGTTTCTGTTGCTCTGATTCCGCTATCCCCAAAAAGCAGTGCCAG